ATTTGAGAGGCGGAAGTTTGGGCCTGTTGGCATTCTCTTCTTTTCGCTTGCAGTCTCGGCAGATAAAGTGAAAGTCTTCCTTTTCGGCCGCTTCTTGCGAGATACCAAGACACTTGCTATGCTGCCAAACGTTGCATTTTTCACATGCAACACTGTGACTTCCATCATCCTGGGGAAATTGTTAGATTGAGATCCCGACGTGTTGGAAAACTGAAACTCACCAAGTTCTCGCCATACACTCCACAACCAGAGCAATCGAAGACCCATTGGTCATCTTGGGTAAGCCCTGCCAGGTTCTTTTGGGACTTCTCCAGGTCAGCCTGAAGGTTTCGGGCAGACAATCTGCTTTCACCCCTATCAATTCTTTCTTGTTCTTCCGCAATTCTTTCCAGCTCCGCCTCATGCAGCAGTCGCTTCTGTTCACGATCTCTGATGCGGTGCTCGCGTGTCATTGTACGTGACTGTCGATCTTCTTCCAGCTGATGTTGCCGAGCCTGCTCCTTACGAGCCTCGGCTAGGTCGTGTTCACGCTTTTGGGCGGCTTCGGCAGCATCTCGATCTCGTCGTTCTTTTTCTTCCTTGGCGGCAAGTCGACTGGACCTCTTGGCACCTGCGACAAGCTGCAGATTCAATAGCTCTTTTTCACGCTTCTGACGCTTGCGTTGCTGCGCCTCCTCTGCCTTCTCGAGGATGGGCAGGACATGCTCAACAATGCTATCGCGCAGGTATCTCTCATCCGCGTCCTTGGTTCTCTGGAGTGTCTCCAAGAAAGCCTGGTATTCTCCGAGTGTGACAGCCACACACTCCCACTTGAAAGGGTCTTCGGCAAAGGCTGCGACGGCATTTGCGTCGTTGGTATCCTTATTCTCCTCATCGGATCCTTCTTCCGCCGTCGCCGCCGCCGTAGAAGTACGCTTTGACGTTCTTGACACTCGAGAGGACCGGCTTTTTGCTTTCTTCTTGGGACGCTGAGGAGGGGGAGGGGGAGGAGGGTCGGTTCGACGGTAAAGACGGTTGTCATCTAGGACATAGTACGAACGCCCCTCGCGGTCCCAACCAAACTCTTCTATGCGCTAGGGAATGTCAGTATAAGATAACCAGGAGTCGAAGCTAAAGGAGACCGAGCTTACCCATTCTGTCTGCTCGGTTTCCTTTTTTTCAGGCATCTTGTCGCGAATACGGTCCGCGTTCCAGAACGTCCATACCGTCAGCTGATGGAGAACACGGATCTTGGTGAAAGTATCGAACTCCAAGAACTTGTTTGGTTCGTCATTGTGGCCGAAGGGGTTGGTGGTATCGGGTGCTTTCGCATTGTACTGGCGTCGGGTGTACTCATCGAAATTGTCGAAGCTGCCAACGCAGTAGTGTCAGTGAAACCGTCCCAGAATAGCAAGAACGATATTCAAGTATACGTACGTAAGACCGCGGTGCGAAGAAATCCACTTGAGAAGACACAATCCAATCTCTAGTAGTTTATGAGAGGGCTCGGGTTTGAGGCATTCGACTTCTAGGTCCTAGCGTGGGTCAAACGATATCAGTGATAATTGAACCAAGTGAGATATCCTTATGTATCCTTTCGTAAATGCGACATGAAGTGCAGCATTTGATCTCATCCCAGACAATCCTAATGGACATACCTCTATTCCAAACTCCTCGTCAATCTTCATGACCTGGCCAAAGATGGCAATGTATTGCATGAGGCTTGCAAATGCCCAGTTGCTCCGGAGTTGTGACAGCAAACCAGGCTCTTCTGGTGCCTGTTGCTCGGCCGCCGGGGCGACCTCGGAGTAGTTGCGCTTTCGCGATCCCATCGCGGCGGGACAACCGTTAAGGCCGGTTTTCTCAGACGTGTCCAATGAGGGGGTTCAGTGGAATTAAATTTGGGCGGAGGTAAAGCCAGAGAGGATCCAACTTCCAAATGAAAATTTCGAGCGTGAAACTGAAAAAAAGGCCTATTAAATACAAACGTTGGGTCTGGGCATTTTTTCGTGTCGTGAGGCAAGATGATCAGTAAGGCGGCGCGTCAAGGGCTTTGTCACGTGAGAAGGTGCGTTTGTCGAATTCAACAAGGGGAACTTCTTCAGAGCAAATCTACATCGATCATACAATTAATCCTGATTCTTAGACGAGTAGGAAATTATACAGATATACAATTAGACTATGCAAACTATAGAAGAGCGAATATTCATGAATTGGAGACGAGTACATTCATGCTTTTGAGAACAAAGTCGCATATACACAAGGAAAAAAAAGAAAAGAAAGCAGACGCCTGGATCTTTGGATATCTCTCGCTTTCAAAGGTCTATCTCACACAGAGCAGTTTGGGGTCATCAAAGACGAGGAGAAAATGCACACAGACGACAGCGCCAACCAGAATTCGCGCCACACGACAGAAGACTTCTGTCGAATATGAAAATCAATGACAATCAAAAGAAAAACAAATTTTTCCCACAAGCAAAATGCAAAGCAAAGATAAGGAATAGAAAAAGAAAGGGACAAGAATACATTAAACCTTCCCCTAACACAGATCACCGAACCCTCAAGAAACCCAATATAGATGCGGTAAAGAGAGAAACAACCAGGAATGAAGAAAAAAAAAATTTGGATCCGATGCCCTCAATTGATGACATACCTCACACGTTGGATCCAGTTCTTCAACCACAATTTTGCGCCTTGTGTCCGTAAACCGCCAGAAGCCTTTCCCATGCGTATCATAAAGTAAAATATTTCGGGAGAAAGAAACAGATGCTTTTCGTATGTTACATGGCTACCGGGGCTCCATCCGAGACAGTGTCGGACAAGTTGATAAGGAGTTGAGCCAGGCAGCGCTTGGTGGCTGCATCGTCACGAAGGACGGAGGAGAATGTGGCGTCCCGGAGAGGTTCAGGGAGACATTGCCGCAAGGCCTCTCGAGCCCGACTATTGTCACTGAGGCTGCATTTTGCTGTTAGAGGTGCCCACAAAGTAGGAGATCACACGAGGACTTACCGAAGGAAGCAGCGCACAACGTGTTTGAGAAGGCGGACAGTCTGTTGCTCTACCAACTGAGTGACCATGTTGCTCAAGACAGTGCCCACGGCATAGAATCTTTCGTATGTCGCGCAAATGTAGCCCAGGCCAATATCATCAAGAAGAATTTTCTGTACGATAAAGATAGCAACAGTTTTGCTCAGCTCTGATCCCGTCTCCATGATGCGAAGGCAGAGAGGAATAATCTCTGTGGTTAGAAGGAAGTTGATCACATCGGAGGAGTCATTTTTCACCAAGGCGCCGATGACGCCCAGCGATGTTAGTCGGAGGTATTCGAAAGGACGGGACTTGGAGGTGGTGTTGAGGAAGGGGTAGAGGAAAAGAGGGATGTGAGCTGCAGGGGAAATTAGCCACCGATTTGCGTGGATCAGGGTAGATATTTTGCTCACCGTTCAAGAAGAGAGTGCGGGTCTCATTGTGAGAGGCGACGCATTGCAAAAGCGCCAGCGCATTGCAGACTCGATTTGACGCGGCGGCAGTCAGCTGAGAAGGGTTCAAGAGCGGATATACCGAGATAATTTCTTGAAGGAGGGCGGTCATGACACCTGCAAGTTTCCGACCGTTAGTTATTGTAGACGGGGCTGGGCGCACGTCAGGAATGGAGCCATACCAAAAGAGTGCCAGATAACCAGAGCCAGTTCAGGGACCTGTTCCCGCTTCTTGCTCAGTTCCATCAAAGCGGATTCCCTGCGAGCTGGATCCAATAGTTCGGCGACCCAGATGAAGACCTTGCGATTCTCCTCACTGATTCCACCGTCCATGGCGGAGACCGCATTTGACATGCCATCTCCACTCATGCCGCCGGCGCCACCGGCTCCTTGCGCGGGGTTTCCAGCGCCATTGCCGCTCATGGAAATTCGGCCATAGTGTTGTTGCTGTGCTGCGGCTGCGGCAGCTTGTACCTGGGCATGCTGTTGGGCGACCAGGGAAGCGTGCTGCTGCTGCGACTGGTGTGGGTGCGACTGAGCCTGGTGGTGCTGTTGCTGTTGCTGATGCTGCATCCACGATGGATCAGCTTGGGGGTATTGATGTTGGTGGGAGAAGACGTGTTGGCTCTGCGCTTGAAGCATGGTGAGTGATGAGTCGTTTCGGAGACTCGTAATACTCCGAAGGATCGGAACTCTGGCGAAGCGACGGCAAAATGGGGGCTGGGATGAAGTTGAAAACGGGCTAGTAACGTCAGGAGTTTAATCCCGAGACAGAAATCATTGATGACTGAAGACAGTTTGCAAGGATAGTTGTAGAATGGGTTAGATAGATCGAACAGGTCGAACAGGCCGAATAGGTCGAATGGAGGAGTGTGGAGGAGGGAAAAGGCGGAAGTGAAGGCGGGGAGGTAAAGTGCCCCCCCTACCTTTTGTGTGGTCTTTTTTGGCCTTGGCCATGTCTTACTGTCCGACGGAGTACTCCGTCCAATATACAGAATCAAACATCTGCTACAAATTAAAATGCTCTATTTTCTGTCTTTTCTCCCTCGTCTGTCGTTTTTAAATTTTTTTTTTTTCTTTCTTCTTATTCTTGGACCTACAGCGTTTGTTAACTTTGTGTTATCAACCATGCAGGGCATCCAAACAGAGCACATTGTTGTCTGCTGTTTGCTTTTGGTAGCCTTTGCAATTTCCCATGCAGTTCCAAGGTTGCCAGTTGTTTCATGTCGATGCATGCCCGGGGGGACCAGCTATTAGACCATCTCAGTCCTTGCTAGACAGCAAAAAAAAACAGGTTGAAGAATCGTGTCATCATGTTGATTTTGTACTCGTAATCTCATATCTACATCGTGGGGTGCTATAAATATCTCTCATATCGACATCGAAAAAACGACATCGTCAATCCTGAATCAAAAACCAAGAAAATAAACATCATGCAAATCATAGTGGTACATTGGTCACGTCATAAATCAAGCGCCGTAAATGCATAATCAAATCTAGGTCTTCGAACTGAAAAACAGAGAGACTCCCTCACGTCAGACTTTATCGTGGACGGTCGGAGCGAGTGCGCGACCGTCGTGACCGTCGCGTATCTCTAGTTCGTCTATCGGAACTTTGGCTACCTGTGAAAGAAGGAAAGGTTAGTAATAATCTTTCGTTAATGGTGATGCAGGGGGTAGACATACTCCCTGTGCCCGAGTAATAGTCGGAATAGTAATAGTATGAACTTGGGTAGGAGGACTCGGTCTTGTCGTCATCGTGCTCTCTATCTCTCTTCCTCTTCAATCCCAAGCACAGAGCAAGAGCACCGAGAATAATGGCAATTGTGCCCAAGCCCCATTTGGAGTCTTCCTTTTCGCTAACCTCGCTGCCTCCCTCAGCTGGTCTGGTTCCGAACCACGTTTGCCAGCCGGCAGGAGGAGGGGGAGGAGGAGGAGGCCGACTGCCATTCGAATGGCGAGAATGGCGAGAATGGCGCTCCTCGATGTAGGTTGTTTCCTGTCTGCGGCGCTTCTTGCCGATGCCGAGTGCTGCAAGCAGGCCGTCCAAAACACCTTTAAAGCAAATGCAGGCACAGAGGAGTGCCAACAAGAACGCGCCGATGATACTGCCGATGACAATTCCTGCGATGGCGCCACCACTCAGTCCGCCACTGCTAGCGGCTTTAGACCCAATCAAATCTGCCCCGTCCGTTCCAACTGGCGCTGTGAACCCCTCCGTGGTGGTTGGGGCTGAGGTTGCGGTTACGGTGGTAGCTCCATTGGTTGTCCCTCGCACGGGAGGTGTGGCTTCTGATCCTCCTCCCGTTCCTGTAGCAGTCACAGCAACAATTGAAGAGCTCTCAGCGACACATTGACCTTCTGAACATTCTTGCGCAGCCTCGCAACAAGTCGAGCCGCACTTTGTCTCGCCGAGGTCGACTCTGCACGTGCCCGTGCTTGGAGGTGCGGTTATCTGGCTGCTCCACACCGAGGTAACCGTTGTCTGGTCGGTATTGGTGAGCGTGTAGGTCGTTGTGAAATATTGATAGCCTCCACTGCCACTACTACCGCCATTTGCACAGACGGCCTCCTGAGCACTGTTGGTAGTGCATGTTTGATCGGCCTCGCAGCAAAGCCAGTCGTTATAGCCACATGGGTTTGCACAGCGCTTTTCGAGCTTGTTTCCTTCGAAAATGTTTGCTTCAAGCGCAAGCGGGGTTGCAGCTGTGTGGAGCGAGTAGTTGAGAAGTAGGGCAAGTGTCGAGAGAAGCGGCAGGACGGATAAAGACCGCATCGCAACGAAAGGGCGAGGCAACGCTTGCCAAAACTTTGTGGTAGAATCACTCAACGTCGGGAGAGCTGGGATTTGAATTGGAATGGTTGTTTCTCAGTAGTCTTGTCTCACCCCAATACTCGAGAGACCATGAAAGATCACGAGCACAAAACGATCTAAAATTCTTCGTCAATAGGTTATGGGAATGTAGACCGAAGAAAATAAAGAAGAATGAAAGAAGACAGGAGAGGAGAGTGTTCCAATTTGTTAGCTACACAGCGTCTCCCAGCCTCTCTCTCTCCGTATAACCAACCACCCGATTTCCTACCAATCGCCTAACCCACCTAAGATATTTTTTTTTATATATTTCCTGGTGGCTGGGATTCAAATTGAATCTACGGAGTATTTTACTCCGTACTCGACTTTGATTAGTCCAACACTCTTTTCCGCCTCGAATTACTCCATACAGGTCCAGTTGTTCCCTTCTCTGCGTCCTGTCAGAAGCGATCGACGAGTTGAATGCAGGTTTCTCCACCCTATGCTACAGCAACCAGCTTTCTGTTCAACACCGCCATTTTAGATTTTTATTTTTATTTTTATTTTTTTATTTTGATTCAGGTCCATCACTCGAAAAGAGGCACACAATTGGATTGTGTAAATGTTGGGCAGCCATGAGTCCCAAAATTGCAGCATTCCGTGGATGTCCTGGTCAGGGATATTCCGTGCCACCACTGGTGGCCATACATTGAATTACCCAATCCTTTGAATGCCCTAGAGCTCCGATCAAACTTGCAGCCAGACTCCCAGAGGGTTGCTGGAGGAACATCCTGCCTACTCCGTACAGGGACTCACAGTTCTTCAAGACAAATTCCTTAAACCGTCTCTGATTCGTATGGATGGATTTATTTCAATCTTGGAAGAGACCAAGAATATTTTCCACATGTTCAGCAACTCAGTGATGAAAACAGAATTTCACAAGCGACTCGTTCCGTTAGGAATATACCACTATTTACTTCGTCGGCGACCCTACAAATGCTTATAGAGGGGATTCTCCACTCTGTCATGTCACTCACTTGCTGACCTGACGTTTCTTTTTCTTGCTTTGGAAATGTCTCGAACAACTTGTATATTATTGTATGTCAGAAAACTACGGAGTATCTATTGTTCATATGATTGCAGGTATGATAGCTCAAACTAGCGATATTGCTATCAACCTATCCTATTTGATTTCATCCTGCCCGCTATCACCTCGAAGCCAATGGCTCATCATCGGACAGTTGCTTATTTTAGGTCCTCCATGAATAGCAGGACTATTCACATCGCCAATCTTGGCTACGTTTAAATTGAGCTTCGGACTATAAACGATCTTGCTCCCCGCTGTGTCGTGACCTTTGACCAATGCTTCCGAAGCCTTGCATGAGGTATTATTAGCTTGCGCGTGGATCGGATGGGATTCTGAACCCGACCACATGGCCCAGCTGGCATGCAGACTGAAATCGGACGAAGTAGGCAAATCTCGCAGTGTTCTGAGACTCCAAAGACCAACAACTTCAACACTGGGCAAAAGGTGCTGGTGTAGTTACGAAATGCAAATGTTGCGAAGCATTTTCAGATCTGGACAGAACAGAAGTAATTTGTCCTAACAGATGATGCTTCACACAGGATATATGAACTGGGTATGCGATGCATGTATATGCCATGTGCACGTTGATTGACGGGACACTGGTATGAAGGAAGATGTCTAGGAATGAGAGGAGATGGGAAATCACTACGAGGACTACTGGACCTATGCTTTGGTAGTAACGGAGTGAATAGAGGTCTAACACTGAACGGTAATGATGCAGATTAATATGGTAATTCATCTTTGGAGCGTTCTGTGTTAGGGAGACCGCGTCCGAATGGCATGCGGACATGAACAGCTCTTCAAAGCATGGGAACAACGCAGATCAACCTTGGTCAAACCCTTGCTTTTTCAAAGCACGCATACCAAATCAAAATATCATCCAAGTCCAACAATATATCATAAATTTCAACGGGTTCCAATTGTCCAATTGGTGATAGAATATCACAGAGAAAGAGAATGTACAAACAATGACGAACGCACGCAAAAAGTCGTTTCAAATCCGTGAATCATATAAACATACCCGCAACCCCAACCGCTAGCCCAAAGACCAGATCATGGAGACTTGACATCCGCATAGGCGAGGCATCATTCCCATTGACCTCTGCACTGCCCGTGTGGGTTGCGACGCCACTGCAATACCCCAAGTTGATACCATGGCAAGCCTCCGCACTCAAACTGGAGCAAATGGAAGTCGCCTGCGATGCAGCCGTAATAGCCTCGACTGTGACGCCCCCACCAGCACCGGCAATAGTGACACCATAGCGGCCCATCAGCACACCAGTGCACTGGGTGTACTCCGACTGACACACAGAGTAGTAAGATGAGCAAGCCTCGGCATTATTGAAAGCGGTTGGGACGACAACGAATGGGTATGCGCCGTCCAGCGTCGACCCGATACTAGGCGCTGCCCCGCTCTCGGTGGTGGTTGCCGTTGCGCCGCTGGGGAACACAAACGCGGTGCCCGTTCCTGTCGTCTTCGTTCCTGTCAGGCTGCCGGTGCAGCTTGCACCGATTGCACAGCAGGCGATGTTGTTGGCGTCATCGCGTGAGCAGTTCGTTCCGTATTTACAGCATGCGTCGGCGTTGCCCAGTTTGGTGCAAGGGTTGAAGCCACTCGGGCAATTGTTGTCGGCTCGTCTGAGAATGCGGAGGACTTCGAAGGCTCGTTTGTTGGCTGTGGCTTCTTCCGCTGCGGTGAAGGGTGCTGTCTCTGTTGAGTGGACGGGCGAGGCGAGGAATGTGGAGGCAATCCAGATCCACTGGGAAGCCCGCATTCTCGGGGTTCGGTGGGGGGGGGGGGGGGGGGTGAATGGTCGGTCCGGGAAATGAACTCGGGGGTTTGACGGAATTGATTAATTGGGGCGAGTTCAATGGTTTCTTTTCATGCTTCGTTTCGTCGTGGGAGGCGTTATCCGGGGTTGGGCTCGGGTGTCAACAAACTACTCAAAGGAGTAAGATTAGCTTTCAACGATTGCGAGGGATATAATTAAAGACTCGGCACTTGAAAATACCCAGGGTGCCTACTTTTTGAAATTTTGAAAGGAAATTCTAGAAATTCAGAAAAGATCAGAGTTGACAGAACATGATGTAGCAGATGTCCCAGGTCAGGTCACAAATCTCCACCAGGATGCCCCAGCAACCGCAGCCCGATCCTCTAGACCCGGGGCCCAAGGATATATGTTGTAGTGACCTCTATATTGTTAATCAGTTCCTATGAATGGGAGCACTGGAAATAGGAGTGAAGACAATTTCAATCCTAAACCATAAACTGTGAAACAAAACAGACACAATTTTTGGCGCTCAACGACCGGACACTGCAGCTCAACTGGTACCTAGGTACCTCCAGGGTGTATCGGGAGGAGGAGATGATGATGATGCTTAGAAGCAACCTTGAGATTCAAGCGTAATGATTTAGGGCACTATAGAAATACATCGAAGAATGGTTTCTCTTCTCTCATTGGAGTACCCCAGTGTCTGACGTGTGAGGGGGTGTTAGGTCAGATACTTGCCCTTTTGTCCTTTCCAAGGTCTTGTCCTATACACTCACAGCTCAATTAATTTCTTGACCGTTACACTCCTATACTAGAACCTCAACGTGTCATGGCTTCCGCCAAGTCTCCCAACATTCCTGTCGTGGACTTTGCCGGCTGGAACACGGAGTCTAGTCGTCAGCGAATCGCGCAAGAAATTGTCGCTACCTGCAAACAATTGGGGTTTGTATACATCATCAACCATTTTACTGCCAGAGTCGATGTTAGACGAGGCATTCAAATGGTCAAAACTATTCTTCGAACTACCGCAAAGACGAGAAACTCAAAGCGCCCCATCCAGCGGGGTGGGCAGTTCACAGAGGGTACTCTTGACCCGGGCTAGAGAAAGTGTCACAGGCGATGAATACCGATGATGACCAGGAAAGGGTGGATCAGCTGAGGGAGATTATAGACTTCAAAGTGAGAACCCGCTATGTTTGTCCATGATCTCAGACCTCTCAGTCAGCACCAAGCTTATCTGTGTATCATTTAGAGCCTCATTGACCTGCCAGGGTTGGAAGTTGAAGATATCATATCACCGGGGACATTTATCTCTGCGATGTCCATCAAGAATGCTATTGTGATGAATGTGGGGGATCTTTTGCAGAGGTGGAGTAACGGTTCGGCACTCGGGTATGCTCTTGGTCTGTCCTCAACCGCTGAGTTGTATAGATCTTCTGAGATCTATCAGCCATCGAGTCACCTTGCCACCTCTTCCTGGTAGATTTGAAGGAGCTGATCGGATGACCCGTGGACGGTTCTCTATCCCGTATTTTATGTTGCTGGATCCTGACTCGGTGATTGAATGTTTTCGATCTGCCGGAGAAGGTCCTGCAAAGTAGGAGCCGATCACACCGGCTAAATACAACCAAATGAGGGCATCAACACAGTACCGATAGTCCTCTATATGAGCTCTTTTTTTTGGAATCGAAAATAATCCCATCGGTCACTTTTCCCTGATTTGTCTAGAAGTGAAGCCATTGTGCTCTTTCCAGATTGCCTTCCCCCCTCCTCTTTGGCTGCACTGCGTGGCACCTCAAATCTATACAGCACCTGACGTATACTTTCAATTCTACTGTACATCTCGTCTATCTCTTTAGTAGTTCATGAGCCTTTACCCAACCGGTGACTCCATACATGACCGTGCCGATCACTCCACCTGACTAAGAGCCAATCTTGGCGCTCGCCGAAATGGATCAAAGTCGCGTCCCTCACCAGGACCCCGACCGCGTGGCCACCATGTACGGCGAACTCGGCAACAAATTGGTACGTGGGCTATATATATTCTTCTTGCTCTTGGGCATTTCACCCAACGCCCAGTAGCCAAAGAAGAGAAAAAGCAACCCGCTGACCAACATCTTACCTGCGATAGGTCCAACACGCCAAACGTACCCAATCCCTCGCCCATCTACCCCCCTACCAAACGGAGATCGTGCGCGCAGTAACCCGCGAAGTCCGCGATCTCGACCGCGATGTCACCCGCCTCCTAGAGCCCTTCGAGGGCGCCTTCAACCCCTCGGCCGACCCAGCCATCGCCTGCGCGCTCCTCGTCGACCACCTGTGCATGCGCCGGAACAAGCGCTGTTTGCTCGCCTACCACCGCGTGCGCACAGAGAAGCTTGAGGAGTTGTGCTGGACGGGAGTCGATATCCTCGAGCAGCAGCAGCCGTCCGAGGACGGTGGGGCGGCTCAGCATACGGCTCTCGGGGCTAGTGGGCATAGCTCGCTAAGTCCCGAAGAGGAGGAGTATTTTCGCCAGTATGGGGATATGCTTGCTGCGTATAAGGGCCAGTGGACGGATGTTGATTTGACGGGAACGTTGGAGCCACCGAAGGATTTGTTTATTGACGTACGGGTGTTGAAGGATGCTGGTGAGATCCAGACGGAATATGGGTATGTTTTTCTTTCTGGTCTTGATTGGGATGGAGAGGCTAATCCGGACTCAGTGTGATCAACTTGACCAAGAACAGTCAGCTCTATGTTCGTCAAGGTGATGTGGAACGGCTGATTGCGCAGGGTTTCCTGGAGCGGTTGACCTGAAGTGAGTTGGAAAAATCCGGTTCCTTCGGGTTCTATACGAGTACAAGAAACATGAATTGGCGTTGGCTATCTACAATGGTTTTATGAAGGGACCATGTACTTTGAGATACCCCCGCCGTTAGCGTGCCTAGACCTAACGGCCAAAAATGATAATTTTCTGCATTGCAATAGTGTGACATGAGTCTGATTATGCATGACTGCTAGTTTGATCCAGGTGATTTTTTTGGGGGGTTCTCTCGAATGTGTGTTTTCCAGGGCTAGATTGGCCTATGGTACAAGATCGATCGAAGTGGAGCCTATGCAGTCTAGGTAACCACTTGAGGAGTGTTTTAGGGTAAATAGCAGCCACTTATCAGGTAGCTCATTGGCTCATGGCGTTGTGCAAGGATACATATCAAGGCTGAGGCTGCCGGCACAGTGCTATACAATGCCGATCATGCATTGTATAGCACTGTGCCCGACTATGAAGCTGCAGCAAGCTGCAGCTTCATTTTCGTGACGTGTTTTCAAAAGTCGAGTTAATCTGGAGTCGATGTGAAGAGACAACCTTGGAACCCGGAGATGTGTGTTTTATCCACATCGCTCCGGGCAGTTTTTCCCTGGTCTCACGCACAGACCATCTCCATCTGTATCAGTCCGGATGTGGTTTAGCTCAACTGTTAGGAGATAAGGGACGTTTAGTCAAAACCTCCGGTGCTTCGGGGGTTTTTTTCTATCTGGGCCCTCGTTGCTAATTCTTATTTGTATTTGATAATTTTCTCTTCCCGAGGTCTATACATATAATTCACTAAGCTCCCTTCCGTGCAATGCTTGTCTCGGTTGCGTCATCTGTTTGTCCAAACGGCTCCATGCGCTAGTGGCCCCGTTTATCTTCCGAATTTACCAACTTTTTCGGCCTTCGCCATCACTTGGTTGGACATTGCGTAAGAGACGATGGGGGGTTTGCAACCTCACGGCCGTCGCAACTCCCGCGCATCGGTGCTATCACGCAATCTGATGTTTGACCGCGACATCCATGGTAACGCCCCGTCAGAATCGCTGGTGGAACATGCAAACCTAGGCAGCCCGCCCGGTCCAATGGGAGCGGAATCATCCAGTTACAATGGATCGACAACGAGAACACCAAACCGTTCATTTTACCACCGGTCTTTCAACAGCAATATGGGTGGGTCATTGTGCACAAAGCATCGTGAGAGACACCGCGCGATTTTTTTTTTGACTGACATTTCGACCTATCACAGACCCGGCTCATTATGCTTCGGACGGTCTCCGTGACCAGACCGCGGAACTCGCTACCTATGGCCTTTCGCTGAATAAAAAATCCCTCTTGAGGGACGGGCCTGGTCTACCCCCCAGCCTTGATATATTTCACGGCAGCCAGGATTCTGCAAGTTTCTCCCAGGATGAAGCTACAAGCTCTCATCCTACCGCGGGGGAGGGGTTGTTGGAGCCAGGATATGCCTCTATCGACCCTGCTTCAGCTTCAGGCTCTTCGGCCTTGACGGAGATGATTCGCCGTCCATTCACGGATACGGAGGAGGACCAGGTCATGCAACCCGGGGCTGAGGATATCTCCTCCCCACCATCATCGACGATCTATGACGAACCCGAACGAGACGATGAGCACATGTCGTTGCTATCTAAGTCACGATCCAAATCTACGCAAAATTATGGGAGTGCAGGCGACGCCGAGAACCAAAGGCCCGCTGTACAACGATCTCCACACTTGATTACGCAAGGAGTTTCAACTGTCGCCCACTATGCTCGAACCCTGTCGAACCCAAAGTCCTGGGACAGGCGAGTCATATGGAGGGAGGCTGTGGTGTACCCTGCCAGTCTGATTCCTGCCGTATTGCTAGGGCTACTTCTCAACATTCTTGATGCCTTATCCTATGGAATGATTTTATTCCCGCTGGGGGAGCCCCTGTTTGCTCACCTAGGAACTGACGGTATCTCAATGTTCTATGTCAGTACTATTATTTCCCAAGTGGTGTTCTCCTGTGGAGGCTCGATATTCAAAGGAGGAATAGGAAGTGAAATGATTGAAGTTGTACCCTTCTTCCACCAGATGGCTTTCACCATCATGAATTCCATCGGCAAGGACAACCCAAAATCAGTGATTGCGACGACCATCCTGGCCTTCTCGGTCAGTTCGATTCTCACCGGCTTGGTGTTCTTCTTAATGGGTGTCTGCGGGCTGGGCT